CGAAGTGTGAGGGAGATGACCTTCCCTGACTCGTCCAACCGTGCAGTTCCTCGATCAGAGACGACAGGCGGTGTCTCCGACCTGGCTGAGTTCTTGAATACCACTGCACCACCAGGCGAAGATAAACACCGCCCTCACGCCTCGGTTTCCTCAAGAGCAACTGGAGAGTTGACTCCGATCTCCCACACCAGATCCATTGAGTCACCCAAGCACATCCCGCTTACCACACGATTGACGAACATGTCATCAACGTCAAGGTCTAGCAAGATTGGACAGGCGCGGGATGCGCGAATCGCGCCCTCAGATTCGATACGCGACTTTGCGGAATTCATGAGATCGACTGGCCCCGCTAGTGGGTCATACGAGTCTAAGACCTCTATCTCCGCCGAGAGCACACGGCCTGCTCGTCCTCCATCAACTATCTCTACTACCTCCCGTGGAAACCGACCTAAGCTTCAAGCTCGGTCTGCTGAGACGAGAGGATCTCAAACGTCGGACCTCATCGACTTCATTCGGGAGGGACCTCCTATGCCAGGAGGTGCTCACCGTATTCCTCGAACAGTTGCACCTTTCAGAAACACTATCGATTCAGATGATCTTCTGATGGAAAACACAGCATCCAGCTCCTTCATCAGCACTGGTAATGGATCTACACCTAATAAATCATTGACATCTGTTGGCTCGCGGACCGCGTTGCTGGATTCAAACCGAAGCAAGCCTACAACATCGGGAAGCGCCAGGGACTTTGATGAGCCCAAGCCTGTTCGGAAGCAACGTCGTGCTCCAGATCCGTACGCCATTGACGATGATGACGATGACGCGCTTCTAGAAGAGCTTCTGGAAAGGGAAGCAAACCCTAAGCCCAGGCGCGAGGAGGAGAGCCTGATGGATTTCCTGCGCGATGCCCCTCCCCCTCCTCCCACCGAAGAACCCCCACGGCCATTTGCAGTTAGTACCCCTGCATCAAATGGAGCATCGGGGATGAAGGCTCGCTTGCTCCGCACCTCACAAACACCCTTGCGCACACCAACCCCACCCACAAAGGTCCAATCCAACTACTCTGCTAAGGTTGGCCAGGAGCGCAACAATGGCACCATGCCTTCTATCTCAAATCGCAAGACCGAAACTGGTGATTTGGCAGATTTCCTACGAAACACCGGGCCTCCTCCAAGCCCTATTCGGGCTTCATCAACACCGATGGGCTCTAAGACCAAGGACGGTGGTCTCTCCCGCTTCTTCACGCGCCGAAAGAAGATCGAGGCCTAATGGGCTGAAAGTACTCTGATTCTCGACTAATGTCTTGCTTTGCTGAGCGTTCTAATTCATCTAACGATCTACATATCATGTCCATCGCTTTGGTCTTTCTTGTTTGTGCAACGGCACTGCAATCTCTTTCATTTCCTTTCGTTTTATTTCTTTCACATAGAGCCACATTCTTCTTTCTTTATTGTTTACTATGGCTACGACCGGGTGGCTTTTTCCTATCTTCTCTTGCGCTTTTGTGCGCCACTTTGTTTTCTACCCTTCTGCGTGGGACTAAACGATTAATACGGACTTCGGGTTTTCTATTTTGTCTCTTCGTTGGGACGTTGCACATGTGCTTTGATTGCTTTCGTGGATTTCGAGATACCATACCTATACTTGAGCTATTTTTCAATGCCCTGACATTTAGAAACCATTTCATTATTATGTGAACACTATCTCCAATACGTAGTAATAATTTTACTTAGATAAATCCAAAACAATCAAACCCTAGCAATATTTGCCGTGTGAAACAAGAACCCCCTCCCCCAGTCGAAGTATAGATCCTAGACCGTAAGCCCGGAACAAAGTTAATCCAGCACTCCCCTTACCAGGTGTCATCAACAGCACCAAGCATCTGTGTTTACAACCGCCAATTCCACGCCGCAACAATGGGCACCTCACCACTCACACTGAGGGCCATCCTTGGTTTCCTCTTCGTCTTCTTCCAGCTCGCCAGCGCCCTAAAATTCGATCTTGTCGCCACCTCCGGCGGCGGCAGTAACGAGCGATGCATTCGCAACTTCGTCTCGAAGGACCAGCTCGTCGTTGTCACTGCCATTGTTGGTGGCTCGAAGGGTGATGGCCAGAGGGTCAATATTCATGTATGTGGAATTATTCCTGGATGTGGATGGGATTCCGTCCTGCGTCTGCTGGGACTTGGATGGCAAACCGCCGAACTGCGACATTGTGGACCCCGACTAATACTCTTATTTTTCTCTGTATAGATCAAGGACTCTATGGGCAATGACCACGGTCGCCCTAGGGATGTCGTCGGTGAGACGCGTCAGTTGTTCACTTCGCCCGCGGACACGGCTTTCGACGTCTGCTTCGAGAACCAGCTTGTCGGACACAGTAAGTGGTAGTCCCCTCGAACAACCCGAACAATACACCGGGGGAAATTCAGAGTGAAAGAGAATGAGATACTAAAACAACACCACCCAATTAGACGGCATCGCGAACCCCTCCCGCCCCATCGAACTCGACGTCGACATTGGCGCCGACGCCCGCGACTGGAACAGCATCCAATCTCAGGAGAAGCTCAAGCCCGTTGAGACTGACCTCCGCCGCATCGAGGAGATGGTTGCCGATATCGTGACCGAGATGGAGTACCTGCGTGCGCGTGAGCAGCGTTTGCGTGATACCAATGAGAGCACCAATGAGCGCGTGAAGTGGTTCGCATTCGGAACTATGGGCATGCTTATCGGACTTGGTGCTTGGCAGGTTGTTTACCTGCGGGCTTACTTCAGGTATGTTGAATTGTGGTTGTGGTGGATGGAATTGGTTACTGACTATTCGGTTCTTGCAGATCTAAGCACCTCATCTAGATTTACTGGTCGAATGGTTGCATCTTTGATGGTTCTTTTTTTGGTTTTGCAGCGGTTGCATTGCAAATCCTTTTGCTCTAATGTCGAGTGGCATTCTGTTAAACAGTCATGATCTCAATGATATAAAATGTACACCATGCTTTCTGCAGCCTGGCTCTAATAATAGTTTCTTTTTCTCGCATGTGGTGTATCGGGGATGGGTGGTTCGCTATACTTTACAAGCTCCTTTTTGCCCGTGAGGTAGTACCCGAGTATTCATGGATGGATTATTATTTATCTATGTAAGTTGTTAAACATTAGCTACATGGCTACCTTGCTAGGTAGTCCTGGGGGGAGCTTCCGATATTTATATCTATATGTGAGGTCAGTGTATACATCTAGATTGATGTGTTGCAGAAGGATTCTGAGTTCGATGAAACCCAAACAACAGATATGCCAAGAGAGCAAACAAAAGGTGCCCCAATTACAAGCATAAAAGGGCCTTAATAGACACCCAATCTAAAGAAATGCGCTGTGTCGAGCAGTGTGTAATCGACGGCCTCTAAGTGGAATGTTTAGCATTGCAAACAAAACAAACACCGGGCATTGCAGGAGCTTCTCGGTTCCCCGGGGCATTACACCGGATGATGTCAAAGCCGAGCATCAAACGCCAATTCATCCCTAGAGGAAAGAAAGTCTCAACTCCCTCTCTATAGGATACTGCAACAAAATGTCCACCCCGCGTATACTCCGTCGCCTCGCGCGACCAGTGCCATCATCCCTAAGCACAATCACAAGACTAAACCGCCAATTCGGCGCGACAGCTCTACGCCTCAAAGATGGCGACGATGCTCCCGAGGTGAAGGCGCACCGCGCAAACCAGGCCAACAAGCCCCCAAATCAATTCGTGCCCAACACTACCTCAACCATGACAAAGGACTTCCTCAGTGTCGGTCAGAAGCCTCCGCCACCGGAGATGCTGAACTCAGTCGATCCCAACTACAGACCGTCTGATCCGTACCCCGGAAGGATTGAGCATTTCACCGGTGGTCGTCAGGATAATGGGGCGCAGAAGCCCGAGCTTGGCGTTGGTGAGATGGAGGGTATTACGTTCAAGGTTGAGCCTTTGAAGAGAGTTGGGGAGGAACTTGCCACGAAGAGAGCACGTCTGCTATGTTCGTACCCGTTTCCATGCATACTTGTACCTCGGTCACAATGCTAAAGCTGAGGATCTGGTGCATCAATATATCAAGGACCATTCCAAGCTAACCAACTCCACTCTAGACCAAAGCCGCAAGCGCGGAATCCTGGAGTCAGACTTGCTCCTCTCAACCTTCGCAGATGTCTACCTGGGCAAGATGGACTACGATCAGCTCGTCGAGTACGATGGCTTCCTGGACGAGAACGACTGGGACATCTACTACTGGGCGACACAGGACCCGCCAGAGGATATCTCACCCTCCGCTCCTAAGGAGGATACCATCACCGAGACTTGGAAGGAGACTGGTGCCAAGAGCGGTGAATGGGCACAGACTATTGGCGCCTTCAGAGCCGCTTACCGGCCTGTTCCGTCGCGTTGGCAGAACTCTGAGGTTCTCAACCTGCTCAGAGCTCATGTTCGCGATAAGAGTGCTACTGGCTTTGAGAATGCCAAGAATAAGAAGACTGGTGGTGGTGGCGGCTTGGGGAGAATGCCTGATGTTCAGGTGTTTGACTCGTAAAGGGCCTGTAGAAGAGATTGAACTCGGGAGGTTCGTCGATTCAAAAACTGTACTATAGTTGTCATAGTGGTCATATTGTCCATAAGAGGCGTGTATTAAGAATGTTGTATATTTGATGGTACTCGGATCAATGGGTGTAGAGATCAGAAGTTGAGATAGAAAAACAAAGCAATTGTTAATTTCAAATACAATAAAGAAAACTTCAACATAAATAGACATGCAATTCTCTATCTCCCGATATACATTGTAGTCGAGGCCCAGTCTGTATAGATACAAGTCATGTGACTGGTTCGCTTAGTATTAGGGCTCCACGGAAACCACACAAGGAGAGCAGCGAAGCGGCTTAGGGCTTGAGCGGGCACGTCTGCCTCCCATCTCGATTTTACCTCCCCCCAGAGTCAACGACAATCTCCGCCCATCCCTCTCTCTCCTTCATTGTCTCATTCCCATCATGGCTGAGCAGCTGGTTCTTCGCGGCACCCTTGAGGGCCACAATGGCTGGGTTACTTCCCTCGCCACCTCCCTGGAGAAGTAAGAATGACCTATCCCGATCGGGGGATTGAATTTTTGAAGGGACAAAATTCTGACTTGATTGCTTGATGATAGCCCCAACATGCTGCTGTCCGCATCCCGCGACAAGACCCTGATCATCTGGAACCTTACCCGTGATGAGCAGGCCTACGGTTACCCCAAGCGCAGCCTCGAGGGTCACTCGCACATCGTCTCTGACTGTGTACGTTTTTCTTCTCCCGAATGAACCACACCCAGAAACCATTGGATGCGACAGATGGATTTGGATGGCGCATTTTCGAAAAAAAAAAAAAAAGATGGAATGGTTTTGGCTGACCGATGGTCTTGTCTGCGTTATAGGTGATCTCCTCCGACGGTGCCTACGCTCTGTCCGCCTCGTGGGATAAGTCTCTCCGTCTCTGGGAGCTTTCCACCGGTAACACCACCCGCACTTTCGTCGGCCACACCAACGATGTTCTGTCCGTCTCGTTCTCCGCCGACAACCGTCAGATCGTCTCCGGTTCCCGTGACCGCTCCATCAAGCTGTGGAACACCCTCGGTGACTGCAAGTTCACCATCACCGACAAGGGCCACACCGAGTGGGTTTCCTGCGTTCGCTTCAGCCCCAACCCCCAGAACCCCGTCATTGTCTCCGCTGGCTGGGACAAGCTCGTCAAGGTACGCTATCGATTCCGAATCTCCCTGCAGAATTTCCTCCCCGCCTTGCTATGCCCGCGTGATGTTTGCATAAACGTATTTGCTACTTCAGAGCCCTTCGGGGCCATGAGACAATCTTTCACCCAATTTGCCTGATGGGCACAGCAACAAAAAAAATTTGTTTTTTATTGAACGATATATGGATTGGAAAAATTTTTCCTTGACACTTGACATTCTTTGACGGTATCGACGCTAACATTTGATCCGCGTTTAGGTTTGGGAGCTCGCTTCCTGCCGTCTCCAGACCGACCACATCGGTCACACCGGATACATCAACACCGTCACCATCTCCCCCGACGGATCCCTCTGCGCCTCCGGTGGCAAGGACGGTACCACCATGCTCTGGGATCTTAACGAGTCCAAGCACCTCTACTCCCTCTCCGCTGGCGATGAGATCCACGCTCTCGTCTTCTCCCCCAACCGCTACTGGCTCTGCGCTGCCACCAGCAGCTCCATCACCATCTTCGACCTCGAGAAGAAGAGCAAGGTTGATGAGCTCAAGCCTGAGTTCGTTGAGAAGGGCAAGAAGAGCCGTGACCCCGAGTGCATCAGCTTGGCCTGGTCCGCTGACGGCCAGACCCTGTTCGCCGGTTACACTGACAACAAGATCCGTGCCTGGGGTGTTATGTCGCGCGCATAGATTTGAGTTGTTGTATCGGAGCTTGAGGAGCCTCTTTTTGATCTATTGACAAGGGAATTGAAAAAAAGTTCAAAAGATACGGCCAAAGAGCATTGGTTTGGGATGTATGAGCCACGAGCAATGAAGCACTTCTCGCCGGGACTGAGATGTCCCCGGCCTGAAGGTTTTCTGACATGTCTAGCCTACTTGATCCGCAATGTATGGAATCTTGTGCAAGACGTGTGATGTTCTAATACCAGTTAAGGCATCAAAATGTTTCCTATTTTTCAATATTGAAAATCTCTTGTAAAACCATCGTACCCGTATGTCTTCTAATGTCTTGATGTTTTGTCTTGTCATGTATCTTCCCTTGTCTTACCCATGTACGATAGCCGCCGAATACATATTCAAGCAGTCGAATGATACCTCCCAGGTTATGCATAAAGAAGTCTGCGTAGTTAATGGCATAGTTTACGCTTCCCCCCCCCCTTTTTTCTGCTCTGCCTACTACGAAGACATCACATGGCCGACTATTCTTTTATGTTAATATACAGGAGTGTTGAGATTCCTATTTCCAACGTTGGTCATAATGTACATCAGGCTGAACAGAGAGGCCTTCACAGATCTACCCATTATTTCTTTCCGAGTCTCTTCAAAGCCTCCTTGGCCATCGTACTCCCTTCCTCGTATTCAATCTTATCGGCCAACTCCTTAGCCTCAGTATACCGCTGCCTAGCGACCTCTGGCTTCTTCTGTAGCTCAGCCAGCTCGCCCAGGTTATAAGTCGCAACCACGCAAGTAATGTCACACTCCTCGTCACGTAGCGGGGGTTGGATGTGTGCCGCGACCTCAATGGCCTTCTCTGCCCACTTCTGGGCAGCCTCAACAGTCTGCTCCGCTGTAACAGGTTGCTGCGGCTGAGATTTGGCGGGCAGTTGAACTTGGCCGACCAGAGCGGTGGCGACATCGTTCAGCAGCACCACCTGTTTGCAAGATATAGAAGTTCCTTCAGCGGCGCGGATCAAATCCAACGCACGCATGTATAGCGGCATGGCCAGCTCATACCGTTCCTTGGCGGTATAGGTAGCGGCAAGCTCAGCCAACGCCGTCGCGATCTCAGTGAGGTTCAGCCATGCCTCGCCTTCTGACCCCTCGCCACTGCTAGAGCTTCCAACAGGAAGTCCAAGCCTCTGACGACGGTGCATTTCCTTCAAACAGATCTCCACAGCGGCGACCTGCGCAGCCTCAGCTTTCTTGTCGTCCTGAATATACTCACTGGAATAAAGCTCGCCAAGCTTCATCGCAATGCCGACGACCTTCTTGAGTGCTTTGTCTCGCTGACGAGCCTCATACTGCGCCATTGCTTTCAGATCCTCCTCGCTTTCTTGAACCGCCTCGGTGTCAACCTGGACATTGGCAGAGGTCTTCTGCACCTGGACCTGCGCTTGCTTCACCTTCTCAGCTGCTGCAGCAGCGTTGCCTGCTGTGACCTCATCCACCCAGGCCAGAGTCTCGTTCTTCGTTCGCTCCAATACATCAATCGCCGGCTTCACAAGTCCAGCCTTCTCCAGCATCATAGCAACCTGCAGCTTGATTCCAAGTATCTCATCCGAGTATGGGTGGATGCCCATCTCAAAGGCTATATGAAGCGCCTCTCTGTAAGCCTTCATTGCCTTGGCCGGATTGAGATCGATCTCGGTGTAATAGATAGCGGTGCGGAGAGCGTCGGCCACCGGCGGCGGGAATTTGTGGTACTGTGGCCCAACGCGTGTCAATTCCACGTAGGAGATGTAGGCAAAGATGAAGGCTCCGCCGACAACGGAGAAGATTGCTAGTGGCATGAGCACGGGGTTCTTGCGCCAGATTCCTTTAGATGCTTCGCGGTATTTGCGGCTGATTTTCTGCAGGATCGTGAGGTGCCGTGTGCCGGAGATATATGGGCTTGCAAGTGGTTTGCCATTGTTGATTCGCGGTTGGAGGGTTGGTCGGGTGGTGCTGTTGATGTATATTGAGCGGGCCAGGCTCTTTGGTTGTGGTTGTAGAAGTTTTGCGGCATGCGCACTCGCGCGCCGTGATGCTGCGCGGAACATTGGGAGTGTGTGGGTGGGTATTGGATTGAGATTTCAAGTTTTGATTGAGCGGGTGATTGTCTGATGCAACCTGGGAAATTGATGTAGAGAATAGACAGGGAGATATGGTGAGTAAGTTGAGAGTCCGCCCTCGATTTTCCGGTGGTCCAAGCTCCGCTCCGCCATATGACGTCGCCCGCTGAAGTATGCACTCACTTTTCCACTCATTCTGTCTGGAAAATGCACTGGTTTGATCCAACAATGATCGTGGAGATCTTGCTATTGAATAGATCTAATAGCTTACACTGATCATGTGTGGGCGATACGCTTTGGGTGTGGTAAGTCACGGCTCCTGCGTCTAGACTGTCCGCCAGCTGACGATCCCAAGCGCTTGGCGTACATTCAACAACGTCTGCAAGAGCAAGGCATGCAAGTGGATGAAGTGCCAGACGACGATGCAGTCAGAGAGACATACAACTTTGCACCGGGTAACTTCGGCGCTGTCTATCGCGCTGATATCGCCGACAAAGGGGGCCACAATGCTCAGCAACATGCTGATAGCGAGCACCAAAACCAAGATTTAGAAAAGAGAAAAGATGACGTTAACTCGGACGCTAAGTCAGCAGACAACACAGTTATCAAATACAAGCTCCAGAGCATGAAATGGGGTCTCATCCCATTCTGGACGAAGCGCCAGCCGGATTACGGATCTATGATGCGAACGATTAACTGTCGCGATGACTCGTTGATTGAAGATTCTGGGATGTGGACTACCATGAAGCGACGAAAGAGGTGCATTGTCATCTGCCAGGGCTTTTACGAGTGGCTGAAGAAGGGGCCTGGGGGCAAAGAAAAGGTTCCACACTTTGTCCGGCGCAAAGACGGGGAACTGATGTGTTTCGCTGGATTATGGGACTGCGTTTCCTACGAGGGTATGTCTAAACCTTTCTGAGATGAAGCATTAATTAGGCTGACGATTACTTTGCACAGGTTCTGACGAAAAGCTCTACACATACACGGTGATCACGACCTCATCTAATTCCTACCTAAAGTTCCTACATGAACGTATGCCGGTCATTCTGGACCCAGGAAGTGAGGCAATGAAAACGTGGCTGGACCCCGGCCGAAAGACCTGGTCAAAGGAGCTACAGTCGATTCTCAAGCCCTATGAGGGCGAACTGGAGTGCTATCCTGTCCCCAAGGAAGTTGGGAAAGTTGGAAATAATTCTCCGAACTTTATTGTTCCTGTCGACAGCAAGGAAAACAAGAGCAACATCGCAAACTTCTTTGCCAATGCAAAAATGAAGGAGACTCCAGACTTGTCTCCAAAGAAGGAGACTGCGTCGCCGAAAATGAAGATGGTTAAAGACGAGGATCGCCGCCCTACTAAGGATTCAGAATGGTCCGAAGACAATGCCCCAAAGCCAGTCCCAGCTGTCAAAAGGGAGCATAGTCCAGAAGCTCCTGATGCCACGAAGGAAAGTAAGAAGCAAAAGGTCAATTCAGATTCAACGGGGCCATCGCCGCAAAAAAGAAGTTGCGCAGTGCTACCCATAACAGCCCTATGAAGAATTCCAGTGGGACCAAGGCAGCAGATGGATCGCAGCGAATTACGAGCTTCTTCAAGAAGTGATGATAGATGCAATGAAGCAAATCAACCTTGACTTTTGTTTATTCAGTCATACTTTTCTGATTAAAATATGTTATATTTTGTCAAAGTAGAAACGAGAATCCCCTGACCGAGTCATATCTACTGGGCGACAAACTGATATCCAATGCACTGAGCGAACTCTGCTCCATGAAGAAGGAAACTCAGCTAACGTGCACGGTGTGTTGAGTTGAGAATAGTCCAAGTGCAAGAGTATCGCGGTTAAAGAAAGATTGCGTACAAGGTCTGCGCAAAAGGTTCAACAGCAACCGAATGCGAGTGGACGGCTAAAGGCTGATATATATTTTACATAGGATTTTGTGGGCGATGTCCCCAAATTTCGAAGTAATCACTTTTCAAGTTCTCGTAGCTTCTGGACCAGCTTTTCTCTGAGGAAAGGACTCAATCCGAAACTATATCAATCAGTCAACATCGAATACCAGTATGACCGAACATCTAACAAGGGGGATACTTACATTCCATCTCGGGTCAGGATACGATAGGTACCTGCTAAGTATCAGCTTGACCTGATGAGTTTCATATAACCGGAAAACATACCACTTGGCTGATAATTGCCATTGTCTCCAACGAACTGACCATTGGCATCTACCTCAAGGCTTCCAAACATATCCTCGGGCCTGAATGGCATTAGTATAAGTCTCATATGAAATAAAATGTGCTTATTCAAAAACTGGCAAGTCCCTACCAAGCAATCCGCCCATAGTCAGGCGGCCGTCTGCCATCAGAGACATGAATCCAGCCACCACGTCCACCTGCAGCGCCCTGGCCACTAGCACCACTTCTCGAATCGCCTCGACGTCTCCCGCGCTGGCCGCTTAATAACACGCCGCCTGAGTTCAGGTTGGCCCCGCCCACAGACACCATAACCTGCGCTTGGGACTTGGCATCCGGATCTTCATGTGCGTATTTTGAACACACTTCTTGTACTATATTCAGGAATTTTGGGTTTTCTTTGAAAGAATCTGTTGTCGGTGGCAGTTGAGTCGTCATTCCGATAGCCAGGTCTGGGTTCACTGGCTCGGAGGGTAATAGTGACAAGATGTGGGTTCCACTTGCTGGTTCAGCATTTGGGAACACGTACTATCAAGAATTTAGCTTCAATGAGGGCTCTGTAAGGTGCAACAACCACATACTATGTGCGGAGACCCTTCCAACGTTGATACATAACGGAACTGAGTCAATTTGGGAAGAACTCGGGCCTGTCGGCCAAATGCGCGTGCTGCAAACATCGATATATAAATATAATAAGGTGCTTGGCAGCGATTATTTCAACCACTAGGTAGCAGGTTGGATATGATCGAATTCGAGAGAGCCGGATCATAGCTCGATGGAAATGGCAGGCGGTCTTAAAGGCGGTGAATATAAACCGACATAAAAGTGGACCGGGTGAGCTAATTTGATGCCAATTTTATCAGGCAATTAATATGCGGGATTAACTTTTCCCGAGGCCGTGGCCAACAAGTCTTATATATTAGTCATCATACTCATACGCCAGGCGATTTGGAGGTTTGCTTAAGAAATCAGTTTAACTTTATGTAGTGTAGGAATAATAGCTATTTCATACATATTTTTGGTATTCTATGTATTCTTTTAGGGAATTTCATATGATCCCTCGGTTATTAGCGCGGAGTTGGCATCTCATAACCTACGTTATGTACCTATATGGAAGCCGCAAGTCACTTTCTGCATGTTCTAGGAGCTACGATCAAGGAAGATGTTCGCAAGCCGAGCAGTTCAAAAACCCAAAAACAGAGCTTTTGAAATTATGTTGCTTAAAAACAAGATATTACAGTCTTTCAATTCGCGATGAAAGAATTGCTACTTTCTGAGAGCAAGTGATAAGGGTGGGCAGCAAGCCAAAATGCCGCCTCACATAGCTGATCAAGCACCCTCTGGCAATGAGCCTCACTGAGCAGGTTACTTCACTAAACACCCGTTTCATGCAATCTCAGACACTCAGCTTCAAGATCCAGATTTTGGTGTTGGATCGGACACCCTAGTTGAGTCCTCTATAGCCACTAGGTACAGTTCTGTCAGATCTCCTCTATACCCAGGGTCTTGTGGCCCCAGTCACCTGAGGTGCCTTCCTATTTAGGATAACTCGTCACCTACCCCAGTTCCCCCGTTGCCTACAGCCATTGGAAAAATATAAATACCTGCCTCCTCCCACTTTTTCTCTTCTTCTTTCTTTCTTTCCTTAGTCCCCACTCGGATCTTTGACGCGGTCCTTGAGAGGCTGAAACTAGGTTGGGGCTTTGGCCCTGGCCTAATGGCACGAAGTATGTTGGGACTAGCCCTCTCAACCTCTGCGGATACAGACTGTACTCTCTTGGGTTCTCCATTGACCATTGGGGGCTCACCTCCCTCCCCCCGCATCAAGACACCATAGAACCTTTATTTTACCCCAACCCAGTTGCACGGGGCCTGTGTGCAACACCTAAGCAAGACTTGCACCTTTACGTGGTGCTTAGGATAAGTAGCCTTTACGGTGAAACCAAGCAAGTCCTTAGTCTGACGCAATCTTCAACTTTTGAATATAGGTAAAGCTTGTATTGTAGATTGTAGACTTAACTTACTAGAATGGCAAACACTACAGTAGTTCGAATTTTCCGGAGTAGCCCGTGTTGCTGAAAAGATCGTGTAGCTTCCGTACTAGAGTCAATAACGCTGAGAACATCAAGCAAAATAAGCTTGCTTCGAGAGTAGAGTGCTCTTTCCAATGGAATGGCCTGCACAGTCTGAAGGAGGTTCAACACTATTATCATTCGGGGAAACAGGATCTTTGGCTCCCTCGAGAAGATTGCCCGTGGGCTTTAGCACTGGTGCAAACCGACGAATTCTCGAGAACCACTCCCTTCCCTTGCGCTTGCTCGTGGAACTGGAAGTAAAGATAGCGAAGAGTGTATTTGATTTTGGAACCGATAAAACTCGTGTCGTCTCTGATTACGGTAACAGATGGATCCAGCTGTTTAGAGGGCCCGAGTTTTGGTAAAAGATGGATGTGATGGCGGGTTATGTACATGGCCCGGGGGATAGTACATGATGAATAATAGAGTTCGGCACCTCGGGATCTCCCGAGGTCCCGCTTTAGTTTCCGCCCAGACGGGTTTTCATTTTTAAAAAATTGCCAAAATAAACATGCTTTGGTATTTGTGAGGATAGATGTGCTCAATTCCGTAGTTCAGGCAGATTGGATATTTTATCATCTTTGGGAGCATTAGAGTTACATGGAATGCAATCCAAGTTGATTTAACCTATTTGATATGCTACCAGGGGATCCCTGTCCAGCTCCGAAAGTCTATCTGCAGCCACCCATGTAGGGCGTACACATAGGGTTCATGAATGATCTATTCTAAAAATCTTTCCAGTCGTTGTTTGTCTCTGATGGCTGGATATCGCCGTACGCCAGTAAAGCCCTGCGGGACAATCCTGAGGCTAGACGGCGTAGTCGATCGCAGTGTAATTTACCTGAAGTTGTCGCAGGGATTCGTTTGAGAATCACAACGACATCTGGGACCATGAATGTAAGAAGCGCTTCTTTTAGTTTGGAGAGAACAGTGGTTGCCTTTTCTCGACTCTCCATTGTTGGGGAAGCAAATATTTCTTCATTTTTCTTTTGCATACCGTATTGTGGAGACTCTATATGGATGAAGCCGACCAACATGATACCGCTATGACCGATATCATCAGATGGAATGATAATATTCACGGCCACTCGAGTAGCTGTAGGATACTGTCGCGCGAGGTGCCGTTCAATGTGCGTAAGGTCCACACGCTGCCCTCGGATCTTTACTTCGGCTACATCCTTTCGGCGGATGTACTCAATTGTTCCGTTGGAGGAGTGGCAAACGAGGCCCCCTGTTTTCAAGCAGCGATAATCATGTGGCGCCGTCGGTCGAATCTGCATGAGCCAGGAAGGGGCCGGAATGTAATTTTGGACTGTACGAGCAGGATCATTGAGATAAACTCGTCCTAAACTCGGACCTTCTAGCAAAAGCTCACCTTCCCCGCCAGGTGGTACCAGATCTTCGACAATGTTGGCGTTTACGATCCAAGAATTCCATGGATGAGTCGGCACTCCAATATCCCGAGTAGTTTGAGTTAGGTTTGGTCAAGTCGGCGAGCAAGGCGAATCCCGCAGTCTCCGCCAGTCCATACATGCATTTCAATTGAACTTGTCCTTGCCACTTCTCCAGATCAAGGGGACCCAGCACCTCACCAGCTAGAATCACAACTTGGAGTGATGGGACCTGGTTGGGATCCAGGAGACGCGATGCAGAGGGGGTCAGGGTAATGAAATTAGCGTTCAGCTCTCGAATAGCTTTTACCTTGTCGTTTCCTGTGCCCAATTCTGAAGCTATACATAGACAAGCCCCATGAATCATGGCCCCGAGGTACTCGGCAACGCTAGCCCCAAATGCATGGGAGCCAAATTGAAAGACCCGCGATGATGATGACAGCGCTAGTTGAGTGGCTGTCAGCTGGGCCCAGGCAGTGCATACCGCGACATGGTCGATAACGACAACTCTAGAATCCCCGCTAGAACCGGAGATAAAAAGACCATGGCATGCATCCGATGGTCGTGCATAAACGGACTGCAGATGGGTCCCTTTCCCCACCTCATCATCAGCCAACAGTCTGCTGCCTCCCACTCGCAAAATAGGTGTCTTAGTGATTTCGCACGATTGGCTTGACGGATCGATGTCAAAATAAGCGGGGCTTCAACCTTTGCTTTAAGTCTGTTTCACATACTCGTCCGTGAACGAGATGTCCATAAGAAAAGCGCCCCCTGCCTTCAAGATACCTAGGGTAGCGACTGAGACTCACACGGATTTCTCCATCAAGATAGGTACTATCTTGCCAGACTGTATCACGTTGAGCTTTGCGAGTTGGGTTGCAAGGCGGGAAGAGCATTGGTCAAGCTCATGGTAGGTCAAATGGCCATTCCAGGCAGCAATAGCTGGTTCCGATGGGCGAGTTTGGCATTGCGCGACGATGAGATCGTGAACACGTGCGTGGACCAATGGAGGAGGTGGCTGAACTCCTTTCTCCATCAATTCGGCCAGCCTTGAAGGCTGACAGACCTGAGGTCGCCAACCAGAGTAGCCCGATATCGACGATTAAGGGCAGCCCGGAAAGAATGGGTCAGCTAGTGCAACCTCATGCGTGTCAATTCGATGCAAATTGCAGAAGGATCCGCCAGGGATTCCATATCAACGCCGTTGGTTCGGGTCTCACAATTGAGCACAAGAGGGAATTTGCGCGTGTCCGTACTTTGCAAGCCACCGGGGCGTTTTTGCTGCCCTTGTCTGATGTTGAGTATGTTCATGTATTGACACGCTGCTGCTATCTCTCCACCAAAGTTGGATAATTCTTGACTTGAAGATACCTCAAATGTAGACCCGTCCGTGATCTTGGTTTCGGTGTTGCAAAACGCGTCTGTCACTAATTCCTGAGGGTCAACCAATAGCCGAAAAGGCAAAACTATCAGTTTGTTAGAAGGTTCGATGCTTTCCAATTTGAGACCAAGACCGAAAAAAAAAAAAACATCGTCGATCCCAGTGTATTGGGATAGAACGAGACCCCATGCTAGGGCCAACGCTGCGCTCGCCGAGACAGAATCCAGTTCGCCACACGCTAGATCAATATTGTGTTTGAGGGTTTCGAGTGTCGATTGCTTGTATAGCAAAGGGAGAACAGGGATTACTGTTGCTGGGAAGTCCTTGAATTCACTTCGCCAGAATAGTTCGCTCCGATCAGGGACATCATCAGTTGATATGTTAGCGCTTCCATTGAATGCCATATCGAAGGCCAGGCAAAAAGCAATTTAGCTTCCCACGTAACAGGGTTTACTCGTGTAGAAGCTGGTAAAATTAGTTGTTGGGTATTCGATCTGATAAGATGATGTTGTTGTGGGGTTGACTGTAAAGCTTTGATTGGGAGCGCAGCTGCTGGTCAAGTGAGATGCATTAGATGTTTGTCTACGGAGTACTCAGGAGTGCATGCATTTTACGGGGCCACAAACAAGATCTGATGTATGACAGCATTCAGCTTCTTTGGAGGGGTAATCTGGCCTGCGTAACTTGGTTTTTCTTTAACCTGCTAGTCTCATTCATTTGTATGATTCCTCTCCGATGGGATCCCGGCTTGGGTTATATCACCAAGATCATGGTCCAGGCCATGACTCCAGGTGTACTCGTAAAAATAGCTTTGGATTCTGAGACTCACTTAATCAACTGCAATAGTCCTGTCACTACCCATAAATCCCATCTGCCATCCTGGATCACTAGGTTAAACTATCCTGTAACCATCCCAAGATCCGCTGCCTGATCAGGCAGTCATCTCAACTGCTTATCAGATCTTATTTCCATCAAAGGCTAATTTGAGATTCATCAATAAATGCACTAGTCTTACTCAAGGTATACACGAACAAAAGTACTATGATTCCGTCGGAAATGGGCTATGACGACTAAAACAAACAGTGCAAACACACGTGATGTCTTTCTTTTGAGCTGTCTGTTTGGAATGTTCTCCGGGAAACGATTCGTGCTTGTTAATTACAGTGTTCATGGATGGGGGAGCTTCAGATGCGTCATGATATTTGATCTGTACAGCTATATGACAGTTCTTCCCTCGTGCATCCATCAAATTCGTACTTGCGCCGGTGAGAATTGAATCGCATGCAAAGATACCCGGCTTCCTTGCGTTCTGTACTTGAATACTTCTTATGATACCCATTTTTTCGGACAGATTTGACTATATCTAATCTTCAACGACTCTTCACACTTTGTTCTGACCATTTCTTCTATTTTACAATGGCGACACCCCAAGCAAAACCTGGCGCAACGCCAACTCATCTCTCCTCTCCCCACCCATCCTCCGCTCCTCTATCTCGATCTCTCGCCCATAAATCGCCTTCTATGAGAACACCGACAGCCTCCGGACCCGCCCATGCGCATCACACAAGTGTCTCATCCCATCAATACGCTACCCCTCTCGCGGTTCCCAGTGGGGTCGACGACACTGTGAATTTCAGTTCGCCTTCCGCTCTCTTAGCGCTTGGTGGGTATACTGGCATCAGTCCTTCTCCTGCGGTGCATGACGGTCTTGTTGGTGCGGGCATGAACGAGAGCGACATGCAAAACCTCGGAATGCAGGGAATCAAGCTCGGAGTCGCACGCGACAACGACCAGGAGCAAAGACATCGCGTTGAGGAGGTCGTTCAGCTTCTACGAGCGCGAGTCTCTGGTAGAGGAGTTTCACGTGAAAGCGTGGAACGGCTGAGTCGACTCGAAGATTTCGAGTCCATTTGGCAGGACGACAATCTCAACATCGCTGGTAACTTCGTCGATCTTGAGATCGATTTTTACCCTGGCCAGGATGTCGTCAAAGATGTCAGTCTACGATATGCCACACCTGAATACACGGAAGGTGTGCGGCGTGAGGAAGCTACAGCGGTCTTGAAACGTACTCTCGCCCAGTCCCCGGAAGACGCCGAACGTGGGAAATGGAGGTCACTCCAAGAGTTCCATGAAAATCTACGATGGCTTGCAAAGCTTGACAAACTCAGCCAAGAGGTCAATTGCTTTGAGGCCTTGGAGAATCTTGAAGAGAATTTCAGACGGATCTGGGTGGAAGAAAACAAGAGTGGCAAGCACGGCGGCGAGTATCAGCATCTTTGCGCCGGTGTCCTCGGACGTCCCACCATGCACAAGGGCACTCGAATCGGGCTCGGCTTGGAATATTGGGTTGAACAAGCCAAAGTCCTGGATGCCAAGCAGAGCCTACAATCCCCGGATTATATGGAGATTGACCCGCAACATGATCAAGAGTCAAAGGCCGAGTTGGATGATCAAAACAGATCATGGACTGTCATGATTGAATGCGAAGAGGGTTATCCGTCATTGCGTATCTCGAAGGAATGGGTCGGGAATGAAGCTTTTACTGCCGGTGAAAGCACTGAATTGCTTCCATCAAATGGTGCTGCTGGGTCAGTGAACTGGCTTGATCCTCCGCAGACCATGCGGTTGACCCATGGCAATCATGACCCCATGGCGTTGGACTCTAGCATGCTGGAATCCTCGCCGCCCAACCGCCGGTTCGTCGGTAGACTGGAGCCTGCACTCGACGTTCCTATTCTTGCAGCCTCCGAGATTTATCGTCAGCTGGGTATGCAGCTGCCACAAGAGTTTAAGATGATCACGTACGATGCATTGCTGGTATCGGAATCTTCACCGTTGGGGTCACCTGTTTCATCCCCTCAAATTGGCCGTAGAAAGCGCCGGATGTCAGTGCATGCTGTTGACTTCAAGGGCGAGCCATATACCAAACAACATAACTACACTTTCCAGTCTTTCGAGTCCATTACTGGTTGCACCATCCGTGACCTACCCTTCTCGCACCCCCGACAGCTCGCAGACATCCTTCCGGTATGTGTCTTTTTGTCCGGTATTGTCTTTGACTAACCCGGTTTAGATCTTCCGGCAATATGCCGTGTTAGCCAATCTGATTCGGAAGACGTTCCATGTCCCCTCCAAGGACCAGGCCAACGCAACCAATTCTCCAAATGCAACCCCCCAAAATACTCGCGCTCCTCCTGTCCAAACTCCGGACCTCTTTGCTGGCCACGACGGGCCCATAATTTTGAACAACGATGATCCTAACGAGGAGAGGTTGAACCTGCTACTGGGTCTGAGTAGCTCGGATGGCAACAAGACTGACTCTGGAGTTGAATTTTCAGCCCCCTCCAGTGGAGGAAAGAGTCCCAATCAACCTTCCGTGGGCGACGTCAAAGTCGACGTGACATTGCGTATTCAACTCGGCCAAGCGCCTGCTCTCATGTTGCTCATCACAGACCAGAGGAACTACAACGAGAGCTCCGAAACCGCTCGAACCATTCAAACCCCAAGACAAATCGCTATTTGCTTTGAAGTCGGCTTGAACGGCCATATCTCAGTTGTGGATACGGCTGGGTTAGTGGACAGTGAATTGGGTGGCGACACTGAAATGCAGGGTATGGATAACCTTGATCCAGGCCTCCAGGATGTGCAAAAGAAGATTGCCAGAGTGCTCGAGATCTCTCAAGACTTGAGCATCTTGGTTGAGTGGGTATTGCGTTGGATGCAACGGCGGGCTGGCAATGGGTGAGATCCAGTGGCACTGAGATACAACATTCTTGTATTCACAGACCAAGACAATTCCTAGTCTCACAATTGCTCATAGCTCATGCTTGACATGGACATGCAAACCGCTAAGGCGCAGTCGTACATTGGTCGTAATGTACACTATGGTTAGTGTAAGACCTTGCTAGCTGAAGTAGCAGCTGGCACTCGGGGCAACTCACCATCCAAGCTGCTCTGGCGCTCTTCTGTCACACAACTCATAATGTATGGGATGCTGGTTAGCTACTCTGCCATCAGTTTCTACTTGATTGAGACCTGGATATCTAAATTCTAGATAATCTCAACCAAATACTGGATTACGCAATGTGACTAGTGATATATATATCAGCATTATCATTGATTCCTGAAACAAGTTGAAACTTGCACAATATCGCAAACGCATTCTAGCTGTGTGTATAAACCGTGATAGAGAGAGTTGTCATAACCCTGTCACTAGGTACTGAGAAGCAGCATATCACGCTGCGCGGTGGGTCTCCCGATCAAGACTTTTCCTCGATAAGGTAGAATGGGCCTGCCGGATGACAGAGAACGGGTGAGCTGGGCCCGTTAGAAATGCGCAGTAAAATGTCCACGCCTAAGAGGCACTCACAGTAAAGCAGCATCGCTTTTCTTTTGCTTTTTCAAAGAACGGATAAGAACAGCCATCTCCCTGTTTTGGGAGCTATGCCTTCGAACAAATCCGGGAACACTTGCTCTTAGTTGGATATCATATACCGGGAGGAACCCATTCAGAAGCGTCATCAACCGAAGTTCGAGCTGGCCAGCGCTACTCATGCAAGGAAATGATCCTGGTTAGGCTCGTGATCGACAGAGTCCCCGGGAGGATGATGAGGTTCTCCCCCTTTTCAAGTTCTTTTCTTCCATATCTTGCTTTCAGTGGTCACAAATGGGATACCATTATCCCGGGGAAGAGCTTGAGAATAACGCTCTTGGAGATTTCATCGAACGCATCTTTTCCCAGGCAAATCTCTACCGTCGCCCACATATTTGTCCGGAGCTTTTGAATAAAGTCGTGTTGAGGCTTCCTCGAATCGTCTGTGTAAACCCTATTGAAGTCCTCGGTCCTTGCCTGTACATTCAGAGAATCGGATGGGGGTCCCTTTTTGCCTCCATATGCATACCCGAACTACCCGCCATTCCAGATATGAATATGAATATGTATATAAAAATAAAGGAGTAGTTTATATTGAAGATACCGAGATGACCAGAAAAATATTAACAAAAGAGGGTATGTGTGAAAGACGAGAAGGTCTTTAAAATCCCCAGGTAGGTAGCAAATAACAATAAAACAAAGTACTCAGATGCTGTTTGATATTTGCCTTCAAGAGATGAAGCTGTGATCGTATTTTCTTTGAACATAAACATAGCGTCTCTCAGACTTATTGTATTATGCTTATTATGTGAACTACATGTATGCTTCAGCTTAGCGCATTCCCACAGTCATTCAACTTCTATTAAACGCATTATTTCTTTACTCTGCTACCTTGAAGATACTGAAAGGATCTTTCCAGAATTACCGCATTCTCATACGGATACATATGCAAGTATACCTAAGACAGTTTCAGAGTCGATCAGATAAGTCTAGGCCCTAAATATGCGGGGGTGGTGGACCGTGGTGCGT